GTTACAGACACATTACCACACATGTTACAGACACATTACCACACATGTTACAGACACATTACCACACATGTTACAGACACATTACCACACATGTCACAGCCACATTACCACACATGTTACAGACACATTACCACACATGTTACAGACACATTACCACACATGTTACAGACACATTACCACACATGTTACAGACACATTACCACACATGTTACAGACACATTACCACACATGTTACAGACACATTACCACACATGTCACAGACACATTACCCAGGAGAACCAAATAAAGTCAAGTACTCTGACTTACTTCAGATAAAACGAGATATTCGTCAGTTATTTCACAGAACTAATTTGATGTTAAAATGAAAACACGACAGCACTAAAAGTTTAAATCCGACCAGAAGATGCATTTTCTAGTTTCCGCTCAAAAGTCAACAATATTGATGCCAACAATATTGATGCCAGCAATATTGGTGCCAACAATATTGATGTTAACAATATTGGTGCCAACGATATTAATGCCAACAATATTGGTGCCAGCAATATTGATGCCAATAATATTGGTGCCAACAATATTGATGTTAACAATATTGGTGCCAACAATATTGGTGCCAACAATACTGGTGCCTCAAAATGGTATACAATACCGACAGGTTGTTAGGTAAGACACATATGCAACAGTTAGACATCTTTATTCCGAAACGTTTCGCCTACACAGTAGGCTTCTTCAGTCGAATACAGAAAGTAGGCAGGAGCAGTAGAGATGTGAAGACGATGTAATCAGTCCATCACCCTTAAAGTCGTAGAATTTGAGGTTGTCAGTCCCTCGGCCTGGAGAAGTTCAGTTCCATAGTTAGGAACTATCTGAAGATCAAGCGACAGTGCGGAGGCTTAAATACTGTCGGAAGGAGAGGTGCAGGGTAGTAGTAGTAGTAGTAGTAGTAGTGAGAGGCAACTGAGAGGTCATGTCCCTCTCAGATCCAACCCTTCTCACTTGAAAAGCTTGTCCAAGGTGTTTTCTGTACCAAGATGCCACGTGTTGCAGTGTCTGACAAGATGAACATCAAAATGGTATACAATACCGACAGGTTGTTAGGTAAGACACATATGCAACAGTTAGACATCTTTATTCCGAAACGTTTTGCCTACACAGTAGGCTTCTTCAGTCGAATACAGAAAGTAGGCAGGAGCAGTAGAGATGTGAAGACGATGTAATCAGTCCATCACCCTTAAAGTCGTAGAATTTGAGGTTGTCAGTCCCTCGGCCTGGAGAAGTTCAGTTCCATAGTCAGGAACTATCTGAAGATCAAGCGACAGTGCGGAGGCTTAAATACTGTCGGAAGGAGAGGTGCAGGGTAGTAGTAGTAGTAGTAGTAGTAGTGAGAGGCAACTGAGAGGTCATGTCCCTCTCAGATCCAACCCTTCTCACTTGAAAAGCTTGTCCAAGGTGTTTTCTGTACCAAGATGCCACGTGTTGCAGTGTCTGACAAGATGAACATCAAAATGGTATACAATACCCACAGGTTGTTAGGTAAGACACATATGCAACAGTTAGACATCTTTATTCCGAAACGTTTCGCCTACACAGTAGGCTTCTTCAGTCGAATACAGAAAGTAGGCAGGAGCAGTAGAGATGTGAAGACGATGTAATCAGTCCATCACCCTTAAAGTCGTAGAATTTGAGGTTGTCAGTCCCTCGGCCTGGAGAAGTTCAGTTCCATAGTCAGGAACTATCTGAAAATCAAGCGACAGTGCGGAGGCTTAAATACTGTCGGAAGGAGAGGTGCAGGGTTGGATCTGAGAGGGACATGACCTCTCAGTTGCCTCTCACTACTACTACTACTACTACTACTACCCTGCACCTCTCCTTCCGACAGTATTTAAGCCTCCGCACTGTCGCTTGATCTTCAGATAGTTCCTGACTATGGAACTGAACTTCTCCAGGCCGAGGGACTGACAACCTCAAATTCTACGACTTTAAGGGTGATGGACTGATTACATCGTCTTCATATCTCTACTGCTCCTGCCTACTTTCTGTATTCGACTGAAGAAGCCTACTGTGTAGGCGAAACGTTTCGGAATAAAGATGTCTAACTGTTGCATATGTGTCTTACCTAACAACCTGTCGGTATTGTATACCATTTTGATGTTCATCTTGTCAGACACTGCAACACGTGGCATCTTGGTACAGAAAACACCTTGGACAAGCTTTTCAAGTGAAAAGGGTTGGATCTGAGAGGGACATGACCTCTCAGTTGCCTCTCACTACTACTACTACTACTACTACTACCCTGCACCTCTCCTTCCGACAGTATTTAAGCCTCCGCACTGTCGCTTGATCTTCAGATAGTTCCTGACTATGGAACTGAACTTCTCCAGGCCGAGGGACTGACAACCTCAAATTCTACGACTTTAAGGGTGATGGACTGATTACATCGTCTTCACATCTCTACTGCTCCTGTTAGGTAAGACACATATGCAACAGTTAGGTATCTTTATTATGAAACGTTTCGCCTACACAGTAGGCTTCTTCAGTCAAGTACAGAAAAGTTGATAGAAGCAGAAGATACTTGAAGACGATGTAATCAGTCCATCACCCTTAAAGTTTTGAGGGGGTCAGTCCCTCAGTCTGAAGAGGAGCTTTTTCCATGTTGAAAAAATTTGGGAGATGAAGTGACGGGAGGGGGCTTTTTAGCGCCAAGAGGTGGACGTGGGCCCACCAGGAGAGGTAAGAACTCAGATGTTGAGAGATCAGGTCCCTCTCAAATCCAGCCTCTCTCATAGTGGAAGTTTCGAAGTTTATTGAGGTCTGTACCCAAGATACCCTTGGTTGCTGTTGACAGTTGAACTTAAATGGTATAAAATCCGACAGGTTTTTTAGGGAAGACACTTTTAACAGTTTGGGTTTCCTAACACCCGCGGTAGTTCAACTGTCAACACTGCAACCAAAGGGGACTTGGTACAGACCGCAATCAACTTGAAAACTTCCCCTAGTGAGAGAGGCTGGATTTGAGGGGGCCCGATCTCTCAACATCTTGTTCTTACCTCCCTGGGGGGTCTACGTCTCCCCCTTTTGGGGCGCTATAAAGCTCCCCCTGTCACTCATTCCATATTGTTTCTCTATGGAACAATGCCTCTTCAGACTGAGGGATGACCACCTAAAAAACTTTAAGGGTGATGGATGATTCATCGTCTTCAAGTATTTTCTGCTTCTATCAACTTTTTGTACTTGCTGAAGAACCCTACTTTTGTAGGCGAAACGTTTCATAATAAAGTACCTAACTGTTGCATATTGTCTTACCAAAAAACCGTCGGTTTTTTATACCTTTTTAATGTTCAATCTACTGCTCCCCTTTTCGTATCGCTGAAGAACCCTTTGTGTAGGCGAAATTTTCGGAAAAAAGAGTCTAACTGTTGCATAGTGTCTTCCCCTAACAACCTGTGGGTATTGTAACCTTTTGATGTTCACTTGTCAGCACTGAAACACGGGGCTCTTGGTCAAAAAACACCTTTGGGACAAGCTTTTAAAGGGGAAAAGGGGTTTGGGTCTAGAGGGACATGCCCTCTCATTCCCTCTCCTACACTACTACTATACACTACCCTGCCCCTTTCCCCTTTCCGCAGATTTAACCCTCCGCACTGTCGCTTGATCTTAGATATTTCCTGACTATGGAACTGAACTTCTCCGGGCCGGGGGACTGAAACCCCAAAATTTCTACGACTTTAAAGGGGTTTGAGGGACTGTTTACATCGTCTTCACATCTTATGCCCCTGCCTACTTTCTGTATTCGACTGAAGAAGCCTACTTTTTGTAGGCGAAACGTTTGGAAAAAAGAGTTAAGTTCATATGTTTTACCTAAAAAACCTTGGGGTATTGATACCATTTTGATGTTCATTTTGGGTCAGACACTGCAAACGTGGCTCTTGGTAAGAAAACCCCCTTGGACAAGCTTTTCAAGTGAGAAGGGTTGGTTTGAGAGGGACATGACCTTCAGTTGCCTCTAATTACACACTACTACTACTCCCCTGCCCTTTCCCCTTCCCGACAGTATTTAAAGCTCCGCACTGTCGTTTGATCTTAAATAGTTCCTGATATGGACTGAACCCTTCCAGGCGGGGGACTGAAAACCCTCAAATTCTACGACTTTAAGGGTGTGGACTGATTAATCGCTTCACATCTCTATGCCCCTGCCTACTTTCGTATTCGATGAAAAAAGCCTACTGTGTAGGCGAAACGTTTGGGAAAAAGATGTCAATGTTGCATATGTGTTTACCTAACAATACTGGTGCCAAAAATAGGGTCCCAAACGAAAAATATCAACAATTGGTGCCATCAATATGATGCCAACAATTTGGGCCAACAATATTGAGTTAACAATTTTTGGGGCCAACAAATTTGGTGCCAAAATATTGGTCCCAAAATTTTGGGTTTAAAAACTTTATTGTTCCCAACAATTTTGGTGCCAACATATTGATGCCAACAATACTGGTGCCAACAATGTTGGTGCCAACAGTATTTGTGCTAACAAAGGAGTCTTAAGCTAAGTAAGAGAATGTAAATATAATTTTGAATTCCATCATGAACCTTAACACTTTCTCTAGTTTTTTTTTTTTAATAATTTCTTTTTATCTGAACTCGATTACATTTATTATGGTCTATGTAAATCGATAAATCCTTGTGTCGTTCAGCGTAGTGATGGAGGCCTGAATCTGAGTCCGACTGTCGTAAACAGACACTAAACGCACTCCCTGATTTGATCTAAACACGAACATGTTGACTTTCAAGAAGAGAGGGTTAATAACTCTGAATAACCCGAGAAAACTAAACAGTTTGGCATTTTTAGGTCCTTCCTCCTGGATCTTGCCCACTAGTCGAAAAACTCAAGCTTGTCCAAGAAACTTGCCCATTTATACTATGTAGTCCAGAGTTTGACTCGGGTACTTGTGGTTGTGAGCATGAATAATCTGACTATGATTTTAACCAGTTACTGTATCTCCCAGGACCGCTGGTAGCGTGTGAGGACAGTGTGTTCAGAGGCAGTTCACCCAACCTGAGCGTATGCGCTGCCGCTGTGCGCTTCAAGAAGTGTCAGCTGCAGTTCGTATCCTTCCACTGCTGCCACTCCTGCACTGACGCTGGCCAGATACCCACCCTGGGCTCATGGAGGTACCTCAACTACCCTCGTGAGGTTACCATACTTCAAGCTCTCAACTACATGAGGCCTTAAACACTGCAACTAGTGCTGCCTTCCCCTCTCTTCTTACACATATTTTTGAAGACGAGACACCTTAAGCATAGCTCTACTCCTGTATCTGTAAATAGTTTAGTTAAATACAAAAGTGTTATTATGTAGCCAATACACATCCTGTGGGCGGTAGTCAAAATATTACAGACACGTAATGGGTCCAGGAACTGGGCTCCAGTGTTTTGATAGCTAAGCAAGTTAAATTAGTAATGAACTTCATACTAGTTTACGATCTGATAACAGTGGTAATGAGTTGTTAAGCCAGACATGAATTCAGTCACAAAAATATTATGTAACATGTGTAATTATGAATTATAACACCTTGTATTTCAGTAAGGTATGGTTGAATTATTACAAGTTTAAGTGGTAATGAGTCATATACAATAGGCAAAGCAGGTTTTTTTCCAGAATAGTTGGTAATATGCCACTGTAGATTAATTAAACACTTAAACATTTTTTGAACATTTGAGAGTGATTGTCACACCCTGCATCACATACTGACGCAGGGTGTGAAGAGAGTTGATTGGACAAAGAGATACTTGTAGCCCAGCCGAAGCTGAGCAATAGTGACATCCAAGAGTCCGCTGACATTGTTGGATGCACCATAGAAATGTGGCTCCTCCTGCATGATAGAATGATGATAAATTGGCTGACTGAATTCTGACTACCTTAGTCTCCAATCGGTAAAGTTTAGTTGAAGTTGTTTTCGTGTTATTGACCTCAAACTACCAGTGAACAGGACAGACTTGTGATCTACTTTCTTATGGAAATAGATTACCTTTACCACTTCATTACTTCTATCATGCTTTTGAGAACCAGTATGAGATGGAACTCACATCTCTACTCCACTGTCTACAATTTTATCGTACTTGTGCCTGGCTTCTGATAAGATCTTGTGACAACTGACACTCGAAGATCATTTATGTATGGTAGAGAATTACTGACAATTTTAATGTAAACTTAGATACATTAACTTATAATAATGTAAGGAGTGTGGCAAGTAGTTCAGTTGGAAGGGTGGAAGTCCATTTGTTGTTACGTTCTCCAGTTTCTATATAAGTGCCATCACTCTGACAACAATAACACAGGATATACTATATCCTGAGAGGTGTCTTTCTCTCAGCGTACATATGCTGCGAGTTTACTTTAATCCCTAAGATAGGGAATGAAGTATTCATGTCTAGTGGTGAAAAGGTTATTGTGGAGACTCAACGACCACGGTGTAGTCGACTGACTTAAAGGGCACGTAAGTTCCCCGTCTTCTAATAGCATGTTCATCTTTCCACTATTATCTATCCTGTTAAATACTATCGTCTGTGCTTGAATTAAAAAAAGATCCTAGACTTCACCTTACGAAACAGACAAAACAAATGCGATAGTAATTATTGACAAGGTTGATTATAGCGGAAAAATGAACATGTTATTAGAAGACGGAGGAACTTACGTGCCTCTTAAACCTCATTAATTAACCAACCACCCAACAACAATGGCATTAGCAGAGCCATCAATATACTGATTTGTTTAAGAGAATAATAATTACAAACACACACACACACTAAAGGCCATTATCTTTGTTATCTTCAGCAGATCATAACCTCGCTTGGTAAGATAGATATTACATCAGTGTTTCATGAATTAGATTCATTAATTTTATTTCTAGTCCCGTCACTTGTACCAGAATATTAAGAAAAAGATTACATGATTTTCCCAATTTAATTTTATCCTCCCGATAGGATTTTTTTTTTTCATAAATTGTATATCCTCTTCTCACGCTTCTGAGTTCTACAATAATAAATAAAATTATATGTTTAGAATACAGATTATATAATTTTCGACCTAGAAAAACCATTGATATATTAAATTAATATACACTTACGACAATAATGTATAATTAATGGTCAGGTCAGCGGACCCATATATGATTAATAAATTTAAAATATTCTTCGATTTTTCCGTTAAAATTGCAATTAATAAAGTTCCTACGAGACAATTGTGTCACCAACTCACCCGTTTCTAAGAAACAGTTAACTTACAGTAACAACAGTAATGAACACTGTGTCACGTTTATAACAACAGTAATGAACACTGTGTCACGTTTATAACAACAGTAATGAACACTGTGTCACGTTTATAACAACAGTAATGAACACTGTGTCACGTTTATAACAACAGTAATGAACACTGTGTCACGTTTATAACAACAGTAATGAACACTGTGTCACGTTTATAACAACAGTAATGAACACTGTGTCACGTTTATAACAACAGTAATGAACACTGTGTCACGTTTATAACAACAGTAATGAACACTGTGTCACGTTTATAACAACAGTAATGAACATTGTGTCACGTTTATAACAACAGTAATGAACACTGTGTCACGTTTATAACAACAGTAATGAACACTGTGTCACGTTTATAACAACAGTAATGAACACTGTGTCACGTTTATAACAACAGTAATGAACACTGTGTCACGTGTTTATAACAACAGTAATGAACACTGTGTCACGTGTTTATAACAACAGTAAAGAACACTGTGTCACGTGTTTATAACAACAGTAATGAACACTGTGTCACGTTTATAACAACAGTAATGAACACTGTGTCACGCGTTTCTAACAACAGTAATGAACACTGTGTCACGTTTATAACAACAGTAATGAACACTGTGTCACGTTTATAACAACAGTAATGAACACTGTGTCACGTTTATAACAACAGTAATGAACACTGTGTCACGTGTTTATAACAACAGTAATGAACACTGTGTCACGTTTATAACAACAGTAATGAACACTGTGTCACGTTTATAACAACAGTAATGAACACTGTGTCACGTGTTTATAACAACAGTAATGAACACTGTGTCACGCGTTTATAACAACAGTATTGAACACTGTGTCACGTTTATAACAACAGTATTGAACACTGTGTCACGCGTTTCTAACAACAGTAATGAACACTGTGTCACGTTTATAACAACAGTAATGAACACTGTGTCACGTTTATAACAACAGTAATGAACACTGTGTCACGTTTATAACAACAGTAATGAACACTGTGTCACGTGTTTATAACAACAGTAATGAACACTGTGTCACGTGTTTATAACAACAGTAATGAACACTGTGTGTCACGCGTTTCTAACAACAGTAATGAACACTGTGTCACGTTTATAACAACAGTATTGAACACTGTGTCACGTTTATAACAACAGTATTGAACACTGTGTGTCACGCGTTTCTAACAACAGTAATGAACACTGTGTCACGCGTTTCTAACAACAGTAATGAACACTGTGTCACGTTTATAACAACAGTATTGAACACTGTGTCACGTTTATAACAACAGTATTGAACACTGTGTCACGCGTTTCTAACAACAGTAATGAACACTGTGTCACGCGTTTATAACAACAGTATTGAACACTGTGTCACGTTTATAACAACAGTATTGAACACTGTGTCACGCGTTTCTAACAACAGTAATGAACACTGTGTCACGTTTATAACAACAGTAATGAACACTGTGTCACGTTTATAACAACAGTAATGAACACTGTGTCACGTGTTTATAACAACAGTAATGAACACTGTGTCACGTGTTTATAACAACAGTAATGAACACTGTGTCACGTGTTTATAACAACAGTAATGAACACTGTGTCACGTTTATAACAACAGTAATGAACACTGTGTCACGTGTTTCTAACAACAGTAATGAACACTGTGTCACGTGTTTTATAACAACAGTAATGAACACTGTGTCACGTGTTTATAACAACAGTAATGAACACTGTGTCACGTTTATAACAACAGTAATGAACACTGTGTCACGTGTTTATAACAACAGTAATGAACACTGTGTCACGTGTTTATAACAACAGTAATGAACACTGTGTCACGTTTATAACAACAGTAATGAACACTGTGTCACGTGTTTATAACAACAGTAAAGAACACTGTGTCACGTGTTTATAACAACAGTAATGAACACTGTGTCACGTGTTTATAACAACAGTAATGAACACTGTGTCACGTTTATAACAACAGTATTGAACACTGTGTGTCACGCGTTTCTAACAACAGTAATGAACACTGTGTCACGCGTTTCTAACAACAGTAATGAACACTGTGTCACGTTTATAACAACAGTATTGAACACTGTGTCACGCGTTTATAACAACAGTAATGAACACTGTGTCACGCGTTTATAACAACAGTAATGAACACTGTGTCACGTTTATAACAACAGTATTGAACACTGTGTCACGGTTATAACAACAGTATTGAACACTGTGTCACGCGTTTCTAACAACAGTAATGAACACTGTGTCACGCGTTTCTAACAACAGTAATGAACACTGTGTCACGCGTTTCTAACAACAGTAATGAACACTGTGTCACGCGTTTATAACAACAATAATGAACACTGTGTCACGCGTTTATAACAACAGTAATGAACACTGTGTCACGCGTTTATAACAACAGTAATGAACATATATATTAATATCTACACGAGGAATAAATTGTATTGGTGTTAGAGAACACCTCTTACGTGATTACTGGGGTAACAAACACCTGTCAAATGATGACTGGTATAACAAACACCTGTCATGTGATGACTGGGATAACAGTCGTCTGTCACGTGATGACCACGATTACAACCTGTCACAATATGACGTGTATAACAAACACCTGTCACGTGATGACTAGGATATCAAACACCTGTCACGTGATGACTGTAATGATAAGCTGTCATGTGATGACTGCAATGATAAACTGTCACGTTATGATTGGCATAACAAACACCTGCAATGTGATGACTGGTATAACAAACACCTGTCATGTGATGACTGGTATAGCAAACACCTGTCATGTGATGAATGCTATAACAGACACCTGTCATGTGATGACTGGTATAACAGACACCTCTCATGTGATTGCTGTAACAGACACCTGTTACGTGGTTGCTGTAGCAGACAGATGTCATGTGATGACTGCTGTAACAGACACCTGTCATGTGATGACTGCTGTAACATACACCTCTCATGTGATGACTGCTGTAAAAGACACTCGTCATGTGACGACTGCTATAACAAACACCTGTCATGTGATAGCTGGTATAACGAACACTTGTCATGTGATGACTGGTATAACAAACACCTGTCATGTGATGACTGGTATTACAGGCACCTGTCATGTGATGACTGCTATAACAAACACCTGACATGTGATGACTGCTATAACAAACACCTCTCATGTGATGACTGTTATAACAGACACCTTTCAAGTGCTGACTGGTATAACAAACACCTGCACGTGATGAGTGCAATGACAAACTGTCACGTTATGATGGGTATAACAAACACCTGTCATATGATGACTGGTGTAACAGACACCTGTTATGTGATGACTGGTATAACAGACAACTGCCATGTGATGATTGCTATAACAGACCCCTGTCATGTGATGACTGCCATAACAGACAACTGTCATGTGCTTGTTGTAACAGACACGTGTCATGTGATGGTTGCTGTAACAGACACCTGTCATGTGAAGATTGCTGTAACAAACACCTGTCATGTGATGACTGCTATAACAAACACCTTTCAAGTGATGACTGGTATAACAAACACCTCTCATGTGATAACTGGTATAACGAACACTTGTCATGTGATAACTGGTATAGCAAACACCTGTCATGTTATGACTTGTACAACAGACACCTGTCATGTGACGACTGGTATAACAAACACTTGTCACGTGATGACTGCTATTACAGGTACCTGGAATGTGATGGCTACTATAACAAACAACTCTCATGTGATGACTGGTATAACAAACACCTGTCATGTGATGACTGCTATAACAAACACCTGTCATGTGATGACTGCTATAACAAACACCAGTCATGTGATGACTGATGTAACAAACACCTGTCACGCGATGAGTGCAATGATAAACTGCCCTGTTATGATTGGAATAACAAACACCTGTCATGTGATGACTGCCATACCAGTCATCTGTCATGTGATGACTGGAATAACAGACACCTGTCACATGATGGCTGCTGTAACAGACACCTCTAATGTGTTAACTGCTGTAACAGACACCTGTCATTGGATTGCTGTAACAGACACCTGTCATGTGATGACTGGTATAACAAACTCTTGTCATGTGATGACTGGTATAACAGGCACCTGTCATGTGATGACTGCTATAACAGACACCTGTCACATGATGGCTGCTGTAACAGACACCTCTAATGTGTTAACTGCTATAACAGACACCAGTCATTGGATTGCTGTAACAGACACCTGTCATGTGATGACTGCAGTAACAGACACTTTTCATGTGATGACTGGTATAACAAACTCTTGTCATGTGATGACTGGTATAACAGGCACCTGTCATGTGATGACTGCTATAACAGACACCTGTCACATGATGGCTGCTGTAACAGACACCTCTAATGTGTTAACTGCTATAACAGACACCAGTCATTGGATTGCTGTAACAGACACCTGTCATGTGATGACTGCAGTAACTGACACCTGTCATGTGATGACTGATATAACAAACACCTGTCATGTGATGACAGGTATAACAAACAGCTCTCATGTGATAACCGGTATAACGAACACCTCTCATGTGATCACTGGTATAACGAACACCTGTCATGTGATGATTGCTATAACATACACCTGTCACATGATCACTGCTGTAACAGACACCTCTCTTGTGATGACTGGTATAACAAACACCTGTCATGTGATGACTATTGTAACAACCAGCTCTCATGTGATAAC